ATAAATATAATTCCAGATTTGATAATACTAACAATAAACTACTGCTTTGGAGAAATAATCTTGAAGGTGATCACAGGAACATAATGAATAATTTTTGAAGTTCGGTTTTGAACACTTGAGAGAATAAAGTTTCTTTGGATATTTTCCTTTGCAACGAAACGACTAGTGTCTAATGGCGTTAATATAACACGAAAAAGAGCAATGTAAAAAATATCTTTCTATGACAAAAAGTCCTTTTGAGAACATTTAATAAAAATGTCTTCAGTACATTTTCAAAAAAGCTAAAAAACACTATTTTTGTTTCTAAAACTAACAACTAGTTATATAAGATCTTTATTAAAATAAACTAATTTTCATAAAAAATATAAAATACTGACAACATTGTATGAGATATATACGTATTTCTGCGTGCTACAGCGACGATAATAAGCTAGCTTACCTTTTTTCACTTTTCTTGTGTAACTCTATTTTTAAAACAACACTGACTCTGTTTTGTTTTCCTTTCTTAATCTGCTTCAGATTTCAAACTAACACAGTAGTTACTTACGTAACATACTAATAAAACGTTTTGCAATTAGAATATAATGTCCCACGAGTCCGTTTTTCGATCATTCAAAAATATGAAATTGCACAAAACACAATTTTGCAACGAACATATATCTCATGCGTAATTAACCACTCTATAGCCTGCGTTTTTAAATTAACATTTGCTTATTTTAGTTGACCAATTCGTACTTTCTTGAATACTGTACCCGATCAGTGTTCCGGAAACAACTAACAAACAAATTTGCGGAGCTGAGAAAACCGTCTTAATAGATTTTGTAAGATTATGAAACCAGATTAAATGAAAAAATGGAAAAATGAAAAAACTTGTAATGAACATTCCATGAGAATAACAACCATGTTCTATGCATGTTTTACAAGAACGTGCCAGAGTAACGAATAATAAATTCATATTTACGTCGCTTATCTACAAATCAAGTGGCACGGACTCGTCCTGGTTATTAAAAAAAAATAGCTTTGGTAAGTGTAAATAATTAATTTTTAGGAATTTTTAAATATTGTCGTCGTATACGGTATTTCAGTCATAACTCATAATTTTAATAAAGCAGGAAGGACAATGATTTCATTTGTAAAAATAATTTTACTAATGATGGTTAGCTTAGATTAGAGTCCTTGCCCAGACTGAGAATTAAGTTCGCGTTAATGTGCCACAGAAAAAAGGCTATTATTTTAACGTAGGTACTACGACTAAAAACTGCTTGTAAAATCTTTCGATTTACTAAGTTCATAAACAATACACAAGGAAAGTAATAGTAGTGCATATTAATTTTATTTCACCTCTTCAAAATGTATTGAGGAATATTTTAAAATAAAGACGGATGTTCTTAAGTTGGTGTCCTTTTATGCCTTTTTTTTTTTGCTTCTAACAAAAGACAATTTTGTAATAGAACTAAGTATATATTTTATTAGGAAACATTTTAACAACCAAAACAAACAAAAATCGATTTGTGAATTTTGGGGTAACATATTCAAGATAATCAGATTGAGGACTTGGTTCAAGATTACAGAATTATAGAGTTAGATATATTTTATTACGGAGTAGTTTTAAACATTTATTTGCTAGGTAAATTATCATTTTTGTGATTCAGTTATATTGCTATTTTGAGTTTTGGAGCTATTATTATATGAAGAGGTGTTACAGCGCAGTTAGTACGGCTTCCTGATTTATTTTGAAAGCATAAATAAAAATTATATTTCTTGGTACAGGTTAAGGTACCTTCACTGTCTTTATTAATGCACATTAATTATAATATTTTATTGTTTTTGTTTTCTCTTTGATATTAATACTCAGCCTCTCTCTTCTCCGCTTGTTCCGTGTATATAGTGAATTGATTTTTTCAATGACAGATGACTGAAATGCTTGTATGCTTGTAGAGTAAGTATATTGGTATTGATTTTGAATAGTGTCTAATTTAAAATTATTTATTTTCTTGTTTCTCCGTGTATTGTGTATTAGATATGCTATTTATTTCTAAATTTATAATAGTGTTTAGTAAAGTTTCATTTTTAATATCAAAATACATACAATAATTAGTTTCTAATTGGAGTAACACAGTAATTAATGTTACAAGTCCGGGAACACATATTATGACAACAGTATGAGTGAGATGTTTAAGAACGAGGTGACCATGAGGGGCCGGTCCTGAAACGAATACTGTAAAAAAAGTGTTCACGGACGTATGTGGTTATATATTTTATTTCATATTGCCACCAGTTTTATTTAAATAAAATTTTGCAATAAAATATTTTCGCAATTATCTACCAGACAGGAAAATTGAAATTTTGTCATTTTTTGTGAATTTCATATCAACGGCTTTTTAGCAAATCATTTTACAATTTGGCCGAATCAATGTTCTTTAAATTTTATAGAATAACAAACTCCTATAAAAAAAGTAGCCATTCGTCCGATGGACTCGATTACTATACTACTTCCTTAGCTTACGCTCGGGAAGTCAAAAATCAAAATTTTTCTTTGAAATTGCAAACCGAATACTCTGAAATCTTGCACACCGAGTTTCTTATTTAAATAATAACATTTCATTGTGCAAATTTTATTTTTATGAACAGTCCTATATACGTTAATAGTAAAATATTTGGATACATTATGTAATTATTTGTTAATTTAAATAAAATTACGGGCATTAAACAAATATAAAACTTTGTTGTACAATTTTAATTCTCGTTTCCAAAATCCTACATGCACAAGGTTAACAACAAGGGTGGATTAATAAAATCTGTGTGTTCCCGAGCTTTGTAATACGTACGGCGTTGATGCGTGTCATCATTGCTGACCGTTTCTCGTTTCTCGTTTCATCGAGAAAAACGTTAGGTTTAAATTAAAGAACACGGTCGGGAACGATAATTATTCAGTCATCAAGTCGAGTCCACTAGAGTACAGTCAAGTTGCGCGGGAATTATTTGGTACATAATCATTGTGTGATCAGTTGTGTAAATCTGAGTTATTAAGAAATACATTGTTGAGTTTTACCCACGCCGATTTTATTCACCGTTCAACGTAACACTAGTGTCGAAAGTGAGATGTGAGATTAATAACTGGTTTTCTGATAACTTTCGAGCAAAATGGACAAGAATTCTGGATGATTTATGCCTGTTGAGACTAGAACTTAGCTGCGAAAATGGATAAACAAGTAAAGCAGATGATGGCTATCCTCACACAAATGGACGAGAAAATGGGCGCAATATTGAAAAAAATGAAAGAAGAAAAGGGCGCAAGAATGGACGAAATAAATCAAAAAATGTATGAAAGAAATGAAAAAAATTGATGAAAAAAGAATAGAAGAATTGAACGAAAAGATGGAGATGAGAAAATGAATGCAACAATGGAAGAAGTGATCGGAAAAATGGAAATGATGGACGTGAAAATAAATAAGCAAATCAGCCTAACTGAACAATATCAAAAGGATGTGTAAAATGTGGAAAATATTGTAGGACGAAAAATGGTCTCAATGGAGCATAAGTTAAAGACTGAGTTAGAAAAATCAGTGGAATGATAGAAGATAGAATGGAGAGTAAAATGAAGAAATTTGAAAAAATAACAAAAAATGGAGCAATTACAAGTTCAGGTTATGTGACGTCGGACGCCTTGGTAATAGCGTTGCGATGTGCAGCTACAGTTACAGACACAACAGTGTCCTAACGGCTGCTCTGGATTTGGGGATGAACATCTGAGACAGGTTTTTGCAGCCCAATTAAAGACAAGAATACAGAAAGTTGGAGAATCTCTACAAGAATTTGAGGCAGATGTCAAAAAAATGGTACAACTAGCATACGCCGAAGCACCACCGACTATTCAAGAAAGGCTTGCGACAGAAACCTTCAAAATGGCATTCGCGACATTGGAATTAAGAAGGTCTTACAACCATCAAGGTATCAGACATCATCTGATGCCTTGATTCATGCACTGGAAGTGGAGGCGGCCTACAGTTCTTCACTCCATGCTACAAAGTCAGTGTAGAGAAGAAAATTGCCAAGATAGGTACGATAGACAGCAGATATATTCTAAAAATTTTATTGGAGAAAACATAAAATCAGCAATTGATCAAATGAACGCCAGCACAAGTCTTCTTTGGCTTATGATTTGGAAGTCTAAATGCCAATTTAATTTTATCTATAATTATACTTTATAAGTAAACTTCTTGAAGTTTCAAAGTTTTAAAATGTGAATCTTTCTTGTCTTTATTTAACAAATAACTGTTCAATTAGTACAGATTTCGTAAAACTAATACCTACAAGAAATGTAAATTATACTCGTATTATAAATTCTATCAAAAATTAAAGCCAAATATTTTGAAAGTAGTTTAGCAATTACGTAAGTACAACTATTTGTCTCCTGTTGAACTAATGCAATTACTACATGATGTTACAATAAATCTTACCGTACTTAAGAATTTACCATTTTAAAACAATGTAATTATAGGAAATCCACGTGTATGCTGAGAAGTAATAATTCACTCGTACTACAATGAAACAAATCAATAAATAATTAATTATGTAATTGCAATTAATCATAACAGACATTAAATGCTAACACCATCTACTGTACGTCAGTTGTTTTTAGTTTATCGTAACCATACGGAATTAACTTTCACAATGTTTTCCCTGCGTAAGGCAAAAATTCCAGGCAATAATTATTTTTCAGGCTTATGTTCTCGCGTCATGCGATACTTACATTCATATTATTTACCCACATCAAGGACATTTCCACAACCCACTATAAATCTTTACCAGAATAATATTTATTAGTTATTAGTGCACTTACAATTGAATGTAAATGAAATGTATTGAACAGTAAAGTAAAGGGTGTAACACTCTCTCTCATATCTAAATTCGTTTTCCTACCTATCTTGGTTAAATATTCATTATGTCAAGGTCCAGTCCGAGCTTATAAATGTCTCAGAAATAATGTACCAGTAAAGTGCAATGAAACTAAGATAACATGTTCTTGGTGATAGTATTCCTAGGGTGCCTAGCCCACTGTTGTTTTGGACAACAAAAACCTAACAATGTGTGTCCAACTTTTCAGGATTATTACACCATCAGAAACAATTCCAGATGTTGGTATGATTTCTCTGCAGAATTTGACACAGTAAGTTTCTCTTGTTCGATATCAGCTTTTTAAAAGAATGTTTTAGCCGACTGTTATCAAACTTAATGGTTACCCTGTAATCGAATATAGAGTTCCTACTATAGATGGCTTTATTTTGGGGATGTTTAGAATCCCATCAAAAAACCCGGACGCTTGGAAGCATCCTATTTACCTTCAGCACGGTTTAGCTTCAACGTGTGATTATTTCGTAGGCATACAAAGAAATTCCTTAGGTATTTTTGTGGACGCTTTTATTTTTTTATATAACACTCAGTTTACAGCTTTTGTGTTAGCTGATGCAGGTTTTGATGTATGGTTAGGTAATTATCGTGGAACGCGGTACTCTCAGAGACATCAAAATTTAACGGTTTTTGATCAAATATACTGGGACCATAGGTATCTCTAATCTAACAGAATTAAAAATAATACATTTGAAATATTTTTAGTATGGATGATATAGTAGCATATGACTATCCAGCTTTGTTCAGCACGATTCTGTCAAATACCGATCCCAATGGAAAAATAGTCTATATTGGACACTCGCTAGGTACTACTTTGGGTTTAATGTACGCAGCTGAGTACTCTGACATTGTTAAAAGTACCATGCACATGTTGATACTTATGTCACCTGCTTATACTTTGGCGAATATGAAGGCTCCTTACAGACTAGCAGCACCTTTTGGATCAGCGATTATGGTAGGTCAATATCAATAAATAACCAGTAAAAAGTATTACTTTACAGAATATCGCTCGAGAACTGGAAATATTTCGTCTTGTATCTCAAGAAGAAATACTAAGAAATGGTGTCCGTCTCATATGTCTAGAGTCACCACCTTTAATGCAATTTTGTATGCAGCTGTATAATCTTTTTTATGGGCCAAACACTCAGTTTACTGCTGTAAGCCTCATCTTATGTAACTATAATAGTTTTCAAACTCTTTTATTCAGGATCTTATTCCCACATATTTTAACCATCTACCAGGAGGAACTGCATTGAAAGTCCTAAATCATGCGGCAGATCTCGTTCTGGGAAATTTTCGAAAGTACAATTACGTAGAAGATAATTACAAATATTATGGTAGCTTAACACCTCCGATTTACGATGTTAAGAAAATTCCAATACCGGTTCAGATATATTACAGTACTCAAGACTGGGCAACTACAGAACCGGTGAGTCTTGAAAAGTTTACAATGTTTACAGAGGAAAGGCCACATGTGTCCGACATTCGTTGAATATTATAGACACGCTACAGGACATTCTGAATGTTTAAAAAACTAGCCTTGACAATTATGCACGCATGTTTGTGGACAGAATAATGTGGTAACCACATGGGTGCAACAATATTAAGTGTCAATAATTTTGATTAATGCGACAACTGGAAATGAGAAAAATAACAAAAATTTTTGTCAAGTGAATGTAATTAGCTGCGTGATGTCAAATGTTTTGCTAAACAGTTGGGTTGGTCATTAAACTGCTCCAAGGACGATAGACACTACCTTCTGAGAATGGAATTCATTTTTAAATTTCAATTGATTATATATTATTAACGGTTTAGGAAAACAATTGCACGATAAAGAGGAGAACCAAAATCATTATGTAGGAATGCCAAGAAATTTATGCTTCTTTTGTTTTTTTTTTTTGTTGTTTAAAACCATAAAAGAAAAACTAACATTGTTGATTTTAAAATTTGGAAACTAAACAAATAGTTAAAATGAAGCGCTCCAAATAAACGTTCTGGAATAATAAACAAAACATAAATGAAATATATACGTTTTTAAGGAAAGAGTGTGGTTAAACATTTTCAACAAAAGTATCATTCCTAACTGAGAGTTTTGTTCAACGACAAAAACTTATTAGCATGTCTTAATAAAAATTACTTTGACAACCATTGGGAGACACAAAACACCAAATGTGTTTTGATTTTCATCACCAAGCAATAATACTTCCCAAGCGTAAACTAAGAAAGTATTATTATAGGGTCCATCCAACAAATTGCTACTATCATTCTTCTCGACGTTCCATGACCTCTATAGTATGAAAAAATAGGTCACCCGTTTCCATCTGTCTGTCTATCATCTGTTGTCTGTGTCGGTCTATTAGATAGATTGTTGTAACATGTTACCTGTAATATGCAAAATTTGTCTATTCATCTCCACCAACAATTTGATCACGTCACCTAAAAATTTAACTTGGTAAACGCTTCGATTTCGTCATGGGACAATTTTTTTTTCTTACACTGTGACTGGTATTAGCTATACATTTTTTAAGTTATAGAAGTTATCATAAAATAGTTTAAATTTCGCAAAATCAAATTTCATAATTTTTCGAAGAAACCGGATTGTCGGAGTGTACTTCAGGGAAAATGGAAACTCAGTATATATAACCTTAGACCATTTTTTTAATCTCAGCAAAATAAGATAAATGTTGCTTCACAGTTGATTAAATTTAGTTACTATTTCTTGGCTAATCGATATAAAGAAACATTTTATAAAATTTTCTTGATTAAAACTAATATTTTATGAACAACAGTTACGTTGTTAAGACGCTGTTGTGTTTAATTATGAACATTAAACTCTCCGAGTCTAATTCACTGCTAACCCGTTTTTAATCTCAACTAATATAGTAAATGTGTCAGAATACCAAACTAATTGCAATGCCCGGATGTTCGCCTATGGTAATCTGTTCATTAGAGTGTTTTATTACTTTTAAAGGAAATAGTTCAAACGGTAGTTACTTTTTACATTGTGAATAAATCATTACGAATAAAATTTAGAAATTCCAAAAAGTTATCACTTTAAAATATTAAATATTCGAATACTTTGCAGTCGTAATAATAATGTGCCGTTATACCACTACTCTAAGTAAACAAAAAAACTGAACCCATATTTGTAAAATTTATGTGATAAGTTTTGCGTTTCCCCCCATCGAGATCTCGTAAGCGACACTATCTCAAAATTTTTAATTAATTCACAACAGTCGATGTGAGATAAAGTTTTCAAAATTCACTTCGGAAACGACATATGAAAAAAAATTTTTGACCAGATTTTTAATTCGACGGCTTATTCTATTCAAAAGACAATTAAACAAAATTAAAATAAAAAATGCACTGTAATATTAATATCCATATAAAAAAAATATTGCTCCAAACAAAATTTATACAAATTTATTCAAATGTATAAAATGTATGTGTAAATCATGTCATTATTAATTAGTTTGTACTAATGGTTAGTAATATGTAGTAACATTGTTTATTTTCAAAATATGACGAACATATAATTTAAAATAACTGAACAAGACATTAAAAAAGTCAACTTCGCTATTAACAGCGATGCAGATGCATAATTTATTGTTTCACTTCTGACATGAAATAGAGTAACATTCGTGAAGATGGACTGAAGATTGTCTAGTAAACTTCTGTAATAACATTATGAGAAAATGGATGAGAAACACATTTTTTGAGCTTATAATACATTATTTCAATTCTAAATGGACCTCCAACAATGCAAACGTTTTCCAAAACAAAACAAATAAATGCTAAAATTTACAGGGTTAGTACTAAAAAAGAATGAAAATCTTTTGCGAACCTCTCTCTAAATGTTGGCTAAAGATTTGCTGACATAACGTATAAAAAGGACAGTATTTTAAAAAATTATAGAGAAACCTTGTACTTGTACTAAATTACCATGCCATAAAATAAGAAGTAGGTCTTGTGTTTGTGTAAGATAATTTCCTAATAACAATAAAATATTTGTATGCAGTTATGTTAATGACATTTTCACATTTCACCGCAAAGCAAGCAGAATAATCATCGAATTAAGGTGTCGTATTTTTTTTATTTGTATGGCAATGAAGCACAAACTAAATAGTTCGTCTTCGTAACAAATCATTTTTTAGGTTTCATAAAAATGAACCCCAAGGAACTTAATACTTACATAATTTTTCTGGATAAGAGACATAACAGAACCAGTGTAGTTTTACTCATAGATTGTAGTAAGGAAGAGAAGAAGTATGGAAAATTAGAACAAAAAATGCAGACTTTCCACATCTAGGAAAAAGTATATTATAAAAAATAGTACACCTTTTTCTTGTTTTATAAGTAGATGATAATTTTCTCTTGTACGACAATTCAAAAAAGTGGTTAATATTAAGAATAACAAAATCAAAAAATTGACAATGTGCCTCAAAATTTGATATAAATTATCAAAGCATATCGTATTCCTGCACTGTCCGATTAACGAGAAATTAATGTGATCATGAAACACTTTATTCAGCTGGAAGTTTGAGTAATTTTGATAAAAAATGACAACTAAAGTAAGTGTTACTTATACAGAGTTCTATATTTGGTTCAAATATACAAGGAATAATTCAATACGCAGGTAAGACTTATATCACACACGTTCTTTTCGGAAGATATCTGTGGTATTAAACAACAGGGCAAAAACATTTATTCAGTATAAATTCTTTAAATATTTTTATTGTTTATGGCAACAACCATAACATTGAACGTCGCACTAATACGCGAGGATAAGGAGGATTAGCATTTCAACATTTCCATCCATTCTCAAGATATAAGGTTGCAGAGTTTTATCTGGGACACCTCTATATGAAAACTTCTGTTTTATTCTAAAGTATATTTCTCATTTCCACACTGGCCGTATTTATATTAAATTTACATTAAATTACACTAAGTAACTATCTAAAAATGACATTGAACGACATTATTACTATCTTACATAAATTACGAAGCAGTTTATTAGAAAAAGTCGGTCACAAAGGACTACCATCATCTAGAAAGCACACAGTGATTGTCAAAGAAATTTTGTTTAGTAATTTTGGCAGTGATTTCATCAAATTTTGAATAATATAAATATATTACTAATTTTTACACGTACCTTACGACCAAAAAATTTTCTCATAAAGGAAGACTATGATCAGCGCCTATAGGGCATAAGAAATAGGATAAGCTTACATATATTAGTCACAGCTTCCTTTTTGAGAATAATTTTTGTTCATATGGTACAATGTAACACTAATCATAACCTTACTGTTTTCTCAGAATTCCAAAAATAGATCAACTTTTTCTATCACACTCGACATACTGTGTATCGATATAAATAGTTAGTATGTTAATCTGGAGCCAAGCTATACCGCATCTCATGTGATAATTTTTATTAAAAATTCATTTACTAATTTTTGACGATAACCGTTTGGCGGACACAAATAACTATGATTTATTTAGGGTGGGTTTTTCCAAAATGTAGTTAACCTCTGGTTTCGTAACTTTTAGTTAACTTTAACTCCAAGTTAACTAGCAGTTAATTTTGAATGCGTTTTTCCAACAAATTAGTAAATTTGGTTAGAAAACTAACAGTTAACTATGATTTATATTTGGTATCTATGGCAACGTTTCACAAATCTGTTGTTTATTGTGATAAATGTCATTCAAATTCTTCTGGTGTGATTATTTTGTACAAAAATGAGTAACACAGAGAAAACAAAGCGGTGTTCTAACTTTACGAAAGAAGAGGAAAGGATTTTGACCTAATTGGTTCATAAAAATAGAAATATAGTTGAATGCAAAAAAAGTGGCCAGGTAACATGGGAGCAGAAGGCAAATACCTGGCGTACCATTGCAGATGAATTCAATTCCACTGTTGGGGGGCAATTTAAAAGGGTCCAAATTTTAAAATGCAAATACGCCAATTTAAAAAAAAAGTTGCAAACGTTTATCTTTGTAAGAATTCTTTTCTATCCCATTTTTCAAAATAGTTTATACGGTCCCTTAAAACTCTTTGTTTTCGTACAGGCACCTTCTCATCGTCGCTATAAACGTTAATATCGACGAAATCCATCATTTTACTCATGACAGTTTTATAAAATCAAACGTCAAAATATGAAACTACTAGTTAACTGATACTTTGAGTTCTGGTTAAATGAAATTAGAAGTTAACTTTAAACCGTTAGTTAACGAAAATGGAAAAACACTGCAGGCCTAGTTAACTGTGAGTTAGGTTAAACCGTAAGTTAACTAGAGATGGAAAAACCCAGCCTTAGTGTTTTGCAGTCCGTAATAAACGCTAGTAGTTTTTTTCAAATTTTTGAGGTGAAGTTTTTATATTTCTTCGTTTTTCTGTGCTTTCCTATTTCTTTTTATTAGTACCCATTAGAAATTGCCAAAAATATGAAATTATAGATCTGCCAAAAAAATTATTATAGTGCTTTCTTCATCCATAGCTTGGAAGTGAAAATAAGACAGTGCCTTTTTTGTAATATATGCATAATTTTCTGTCTGTTTCCACAGCACGCAGGCTTCTGAAACCTGTATTGACTTCCAGTTAGCTCATCTTTCTGAAATTAATTTTCTTGTAAAATGGAATTGCTTATGATTTCAAAATCAATACAATGTAACTGTGGTAGAAATTTACTTTAAGTTGTATAATACTTACTATATTTTTTTACTGAAACACTTGAGCTATTCATGTAATTCTTAATCATTATCTTAAAAATATCTTTATAATTTATATACAGAGTTTCTATAAATGATTATAAGGTCGCAGTAGGTTATGTAAACGTGCCGCCTCTCAGATGTGAACTGTACTAAATTCCCAAGAACACATGACAAAGACCACACGCTTTTGTATAACTGGTTGCCCAAATGCTTCATATCTTTTTAAAAAATAAAACTAATTCATTACAATAAAAAGAAACAAATTTATTGCTGCTAAACATCACAGTAAATGATGAAAATCTTGTTCAAGGCACATGTTCACTCTCTTTTTAATTTCAAAAATATTCTGTAATCATTTCGTCATTGCCCATTGTTCAATTTCATGTTGCAACAGGAACTCCTGGCTGCGGAGGAAATTTTGGTAAAGATGTTTGAGGATTCTGCTCAGGTCGTCTCAAAGCATCAACAACTTCCTCAGATACTAAAGGTCTTCCATGAGATTTCTCTTTGTTAACACTGGCAGTTCGAACAAATCTGTTGATTTGTGATCTAATGTGAGCCTCTTACGATATTTCTTGAATTATTAAATAACGCTATTTGGCCAGATATTCTTGCTTACAAGCGGTCAGAGAATACACACGCTCGTCGTTTACGAAATCCCATTGCGATAACAAGACATAACAATGAAAATGTCTTCAACAGAATAAATCATTTTCACAGTCTTCGCTTCCTAGCACAAAAACAAAATTTTCGTACGCAACCACCAAGAGTTTTGAAAATGACTGCTTTGTTGTTTTGAGTTTGGATTAACGAGAACTACTGTAATTCACACTTGAAAAACGTCAAAACAATAAAAACGACGACTTTAAATGATTACAAGTGACATTAAAGACAAGTAAGAATGGTCACAATAAAGCATAATTTCAGCGAAGCGGGTTTTTTGAAATCCATGGCCAACTACACCCTTAGAATCATTTATAAAAGCCCTCTATTTAAAATAGAAAATACAGAATAGAATAAAATCAGAAAACACCGACACGTCTTATACCGGATTGTAGAAATACACGAATTTGTATGTAGATATGCCATCAATCATCATTATTTGGCAACTGTTGTTTTACATTGGTGCTTATCTTAATCTACAACAGTAACTGAAACTTTACATTAGGTAGTTCCTTCTCAAGTGCTGTATTTACCTTATTTATAAATGTTGGACAGAACCTCCACTGAAAGACTAGTTCACTTATTCATTTTACTTCCCGAGCAAGCGAAGCAAGTATGTAATTGAATCCATCGACCGACTCCATACTTTTATGTTTTCTCGACCTTTCATGACCTCTAGAGTACGAAGAAATAGGTCTGCCGTTTCTGTCTGTCTATCTGTTTGTCTGTCTGCCGTCTGTTCGGATTTTTATTAAATAGATAATAATAATTAATCTTTGAAACACTAATACTTCTCAAATTTTGTATGTATATTAGAACTATCATGTACATACTAAAAGGCTAACCAAAAGTTGGCTAATCATCCCCACTAACAATTTGATGACGTTATTTCCAAAATTTGAAATAGTAATTCATGCTTTATTTTTATAAAATAGGAAACTCCTGTACTTGTGGTGCACGAATTCTTGTCGAGTTTTCATCCTAGACAATTATCTTGATTTTTGGAAAAAAAAATCAAAATTATATAACAACATTTTTGCAATTTGACTTTGAAACTGCGAAACCGAATCCTCTGAAATCTAATAAGCGTTTTAAGGTTATCGTAGTCATGGTAAATTGTTCTTCAAAATTTATTTGTTTATCACCCCCCAAAAAATTGATAACGTCATCTCAAAAATTTTCCGAATAAATCCTATCTGAAATATGCAAAATATTATGACTCTCTACTTGTGGTTTATCAATGCACTCACAGTTTTTAGAATTACTTCTACTGCGTGACTCAAAAAAATTTATGAATGAGGCAATTTATTGTACTGATTAAATCAAGAAAGACTCACTCTATTTTTCCACAAAATTTAGGAATACAGTACTGTTACTTTTAGTTTGCACTGCATCTGTCCAAATTGATATACGTCACAAAAATGGAAAAACTCACTTGAAACAAAAACGTAATACGTTTCTCAAAATCAAATTTTATATTTTTTCGAAAAATCTGGACTTATTGTGCTGTATTTCAGGGGCGAGGGAAGTTCTGTTGCAATAACATTCGACTAATTCTTTCACATTTGGAAAAAGTTATATATTTAGTTTCTGTTAATTTTATTTTCCTTTAGGACGCTATCAACCTTTGGAACCATTTACCAGAAGCTGCTCGACATGGGATCACGCGAATAGACCTCCCTGCGTTCAATCACATTGATTTCGTGTACAGTAGAAACGCCAAAACTATTGTTTACAATGATTTAATTCAAATTCTAAATAAATTTCTAAATAGGTAGACCCTTGTTATTGTAGAATCTAAAAAAAAAATCAGGTACACCTCTTTTAAATCTCCTCTCTTTTAAAGACAATGCTCTCATACTAAAAGTTCAAAGATCGTAAACTTCACCTGCTACTTTCCGTAATGTGAAGATAAACAATGACGTAAGTTATGCTAAGTACTCGTCCTCGATGCCGATTATACATTGCACCGCTTCTTGAACGTCATGACTTAACAGTTACATACAAGAACAGGAAAATAAGGAGGTCATCGACTACCTGGTCTCACTACCAAGTTCACGGTCGTCGCAGAAACGTCTAGAACTGCTTTTCTTTGATGGCACAACCATGGGCAGAATTTTGGGCTTTGTGGTGGCTTGTGTTGTGATTCCATGCGTTTTACCAGCTCGTTACGTACCGAAGTGGAAGAAACAGGTATTGATTTGTCAATTCCCCGCTTCTTTCTAATTCTAATCAATATTTTTGAAAGGCTTGCGAATTACCGTCATCTCACAATGAGCATTCTCATTACATATGCGATGATGATGGGGAAGTGAAGTGTCTACCAGGATGGATTGGCGATTTATGTGATGTGCCCAAATGCCGACCTGGGTGTGACCCATTACAAGGATACTGTAACAGACCCGGGGAATGTTTGTGCAAACTGGGCTATTACGGTGAAAAGTGTAATAAATGTATTGCTTTGCCTGGATGCCAGCATGGGTACTGCAACACAAGTTTTGAATGCATTTGTCATGATGGATGGGACGGGATATTTTGCTCCGAACGTAAGTGATGTTTTTTGCAAATTGTTATAATTTCTGACAGCACGGTTGAAGCATCTAAGGAATAGCATATTTTTGCGGTAAATAACAGTTGTTAGTTGCAAGCACAATCAGAATTGTTTAATTTTTCAACTTGTAATGCTAGTTTCGATCAAATGTAACAGCAATAAGTATATTCAAATGCAAAGTGGCTAATAAATATTTCATGATGAAAAGACAGAAACCTATAAAACGAAATGGATTGCGCGTTGTTATTGATAGTAGGAGTTACTTACTAAGTAGTTTTAATATTAAAAAAACAAGATCATCGAAAAGGTAATTTTTCTGCATTAAATGACACATTTAAAAACTAAGACGTTTAAGAGGACAGTTAAGGAATCTGCGAACATTAGTTTTATTCCTGTTTTTTTTTAATGTGTAATTATTAACTCCTGTTTGAATGAGGTACTTATGGAAGCTACGACACATATAATCAAGCATTTACCTCTTTTTGTCTTACAAAGGGGCTATTAAGTTTTTATTACTCTACAAGCGTACGTTTGTAATTACCCCTAAAAGAAAAATGGTCGTTTCCACAAAACTATAAAGTTTTAAACTTAACTTGGAAGTAGTTATTAAAGTTTGAAAGCAAGGCAGAATGTCTCAGACTTGACGATGTATTACGATCAATATGTTCACATTATCTTAATTTCTGACCACTCCCCCTAATTACTGGCTTAAAATCGTAATAAAGTTGGAAATTACGCTTAAGCACACGCGACCAAACCTACTGAACAATCAAATCTGGTTAATAATTCAACAAGGAATGACGGGAACAATAATGCTTTAGAAACATTATACTACGATAAGATTAAAGTTTTAAAATTTATTATCTTGGATAATTTCTTTAGACTTCTTTCATTACGTCTATTAACTTTTAGATACATTTTCCTAATTTGTACAACTACACATAAATATAATTCCAAAAATTATTTTTATTTGTGACCAATTCCCTTTCCTTAAAATCTATTTAGGTTCTATTTTAGAAGTGTAATGTTCCTTGGGAATTTAATCTTTTTAATATTACATTCCGAAAAATGAACGAATGATTTAAATAGGTTTAGTTATGTAAATATTGAACTACAAAATATGACACTACAAGTTTTTTTACGGTCGTTCAGGTAAATAAGTACCACATTTTATTTTTAATTGTTACTAAATTTTTGTCTGGTAAACTGTTTTGTGGAACAGTGAAATATCTCGCAAATAAAAAGTATGAAATCAGATGTTAAAAAACCGTTTTTGTATGAAATGGCTTATTTTTTTTATTTTAAAACGGTTTTTTTGATTTTTGGTATTTTCTGTTGTTGCTATGAACATTCAACAAATTGAATTAAATAAACAGTTAAAAATCCCTTTTTCCGTAAATTAGTAAGTATTTGTTATTTAACAGAGTCAAGGTTTCCTTAAAATCTCAAAAAAATGAAAATTTGCATTACGGGAATTTTAAATACAGATTAGAAGAAATAATTTTGTTGATATTTTTATGGTACGGTATTTAAAGTATAAATTTATTTGATTACTTTGTATACTGTTCTAAAATTTAAAGAAAATTACTGTTTCTAACAAAAACTAACATCAGTCACACCAAACATAGAAAAATTATAAAATTTGATTTTGCGAATTTTATTTGTAATAACCTCCATGCATTAAAATGAAGTACCTTATGTTAGAGATATAAAAAATTATTACCTTTTTTAAGAGATTCTTGTGCGGCTTGTTTCTCTGCATTCGCTAATGTATCATACTTTAATCACTCATATTCCGCCACTGCCTTTGATTCGAACGCATTATGTTACGAAAACACTGTTGGTGTAGTATCCTAGATCATTTTTTGTCTTACGTTCAATCTAATATTTTTCTCTTTTCGATTATTTACCTTTTGCTCCTTTTTACTTCCCAAGCATAGCTAAGGAAGTATTATGATCGAGTTCCGTTTCTATCTTTGGGCCTGTTTGTCTGTCTGTCTACATTTTTAGACAGATAATGTCCAAAATTACTGTAGCAATTGTTATCAAATTTTCTATGTATGCTAGGAATATAGTGTAGATTTGCAGATGGGAAAATCAGAAAACTCACGAGAAATACAGGCATAGCCTTACCACTTCTCAATGCATTCCTATTTGTGAAGCAATTGTTAATCCGTTTCTTATCATGGGTGGAGGAGAAACGTCAGATCAAATATAAACAAGTCAACAGTGTGTTTTCGTATTTCGTAATGTAATGCGTTCGAATCTTAGATAGTGGCGGAGTATAAGTGACCAAAGTATGATGCATTAATAAATTTGAAAAACAAGCTTTATAAAAATCATTGTCATTAAAAAAAGTTAGATGTGGCATACAAACACCAAAAAAATTGAATGTGTCAAAACACATTTATAGGATGTTATTTCGCTTCTTATACTATTACTGTTGCTATCTATATTTGTTTTAATGTATAGAGGTTATCATAACTAAAAGTTTGCACAATCTTTTTTTTAATTTTTCAAAGAAAAATTTTTGGAAGGCAGGTGTTTCTCTTTGTAACTGAATTCTGTTTACAGTAAATACTTTTTAATTTTTTTTTGTTCTTAAATAAGTTTATTATGTTTTTCCTAATTTTCTTATTAGTACTTTTTGCTGTTAATTTTTTATTATACTTCATCTAGCTCTATACGTATGTAGAGCAAACTGTTTCACAAGGCTCCTCCGCAATTTTTTACCATCTCTTCGTATATTTCTGCTTATATCTAATTAGTTACTTGTTGTTTTTGTTAATAACGTTTGAGATTTAATATGTCTAACTTTAAAAAATTCATTACAATACAATACTCTGTTTCCAGGGTTTTAAGTAAGGAAAAAAAGATTTTTTAGATTTACCGAATAAAATATTATTCTGATTTTTTTTTAATCAACTTGTAGAAGCAATTTTAAATAATAGCAATGTATAAACAAATATATACATGTATAGAAACATGCTCTGCCTGTTCCAAATGAGATGCAAAATTTTGAAATCACGTCATCTGGTTTTTGAAAGAGATGAACATTAATTACCGATTTGCCAACTTTGAAACTTGTAGAAAATTTTTGCGAAATCCATATTCTAACTTAGAAAGCAATTTTTTTCTAAAAGCTTACATACACAATGTTAAAATTAAGACAGTATTAATAAATATGTAGGTATACAAATTTCATTCGAGATACACCCACATAAAACTTTATGACAGATAATAATAATAATAATAATAATAATAATACTTTATTCCCAACAGGTAATAATACACCCAGTAACAGGGAAAAAAATTAACAATAATTATGAAGTAGTGCAGTAAATACAAAGAAAAAGAAAAAGAAAAAAAATATATATATGTATAAAATATTAACTCAAATAAAATTAAGTAAAAATAAGTCACAAGTGAAAACTTAATCCAAAAACGCAACTTTTAATTAATGGTTCAATTATAATATTATGATCGGAACAAAAGACAAAATAAATTATTTATTACAGTAGACTTTATAAATGGTTTGAATAACAGTACCTAAACTATCAGCATTTATGTCGCAAAATTTAGATATATGATTAAATAGTTCACACATGAGAATTATAGGTGATCTACGTAACACATTTGTTCTGGTTGCTAATGAGTAAAATGTTAAAAACTGTCGAGAATGAACACGAGGTACAATGAAACGAATTTTATCTAAAAGAATTATACAGTCTATTTTGTTATTAACTAACTTATGTAGAAAGCTGATGGTATGAATAATACGCCTAATTTCTAAGGAAATAAAGTTGAATTGATTTAACAGTTGTAAGTGATCACACCCTCTGTCAGGATATACCCCAGATGAACGATATGACAGAAATTTCAGGAACTTACGTTGGACGGATTCTATATTTTTTATATGAATTTCGTAAATTGGAAACCATATTAGTACTCCGTATTCAAGTTGAGATCTAACTAATGCGTAATACAGATTGCAAAGAGTAGAGATGTTGAGAAAATCATTACAATTTCTGTAAATGAAACCATACATCCTGTAAGCTTTTGACACTATTTCTGTCATATGATCATTAAACATTAGCCTACTATCAAAGGTGATTCCAAGGTCTTTATACTTTTCTCCACGATTTAGGGTAACTGCATCGATATTATAATTGAAGATAATAGGTTCCTGTTTTTTAGTATACGAAACTACAAAACATTTATTTTTATTTAGTGATAAACGATTAGTGTTGCACCACTCGACTACAGTATTAATGTTGGTTTGAAGAATCCTACAATCATCAGTGGTGTTAATTTCAAAAAACAATTTCAAGTCATCTGCAAATAACAACTTTTCGGAAGATATATGTTCAACAATGTCGTTAATAAACAATAAGAACAAAAGTGGTCCCAAATTAGATCCCTGAGGAACTCCAGATGTCGGTGAATATATTTCTGAATAGAAGTTACGATATCGTACTGACTGCACTCTACCAATAAGGTACGACTTGAATAATTTAAGTAATGACTCAGAGAAGCCAAATTGGCGCAGTTTGTCTAGGAGAATAAAGTAATCGATTTGGTCGAAGGCCTTAGAAAAGTCCATATATATCGCGTCGACTTGACTTCTACTATCGATTAACTGAGATACGTATTGAGAAAAACAAGCCAGATTCGTCACAGTCGACCTCTTCTCAACGAAACCATGTTGGTATGGTGTTATAAAAGATTTCACAGATGAATAAATTAGCTTATACATTACTGATTCAAATGTCTTCACAAAATTACATAATAAACTTATGGACCTGTAGTTCTTTACATCAGCTTTATCCCCAGACTTAAATATGGGAGTAATGCAGGATTTTTTCCAAAGTTCTGGTACCTGACAATCTTTGAGAATAAGATTAAATATTCTAAGCAATGGAGTCACAAAGATATATGCACAGTCCTTGAGTAGAAAGCTAGGAATGCCATCAGGACCGGATGTAAATGTGTTCT